TTTTATGGATGGGCGCTTTTTATTTAACTTCTTTTGGACTGAAGCAATGCAACGCCCGCTGAGTGGCATTAAACAGCTTGAAGGATCAAAGACAATTTTTTATATAACTCTGACTGGATTCGTCTGAAAGAAGAAAGTCATATACACCTAGGATGCCTCGGCGGTGAGTAAAACGCAGCCTAATTTTCATTTTTGGGTGAACTAACCCTTTAAAATTGTGGATACAAGCAAAAAATTGTACACATATACAATGTATTTTGGTAAACGCTGGGTTTATGATGGTGTTGCTTCATTTTAGGTTGTTCCAATGACTGTTAGTGGCATCCCTCTGTGTTGTGGCTGTATTTCTCCTTGTGCTGCTTTGTATGGTGTAATACTGACCTCACAACCTCATTTCCTCTGAATAAAAACTGTATGTTGTGTGTCTGCAGAGCCAAAGGCTTTCAGCATCAGAGAATGACAAATGGCGCTATGAATGTTGAGATTGGGAACCCAGCCTATAAAATTTATGAAGGAGAGCAAGATGACGACGTTGGAGAATTGTTGGATGCTGACTTCACACTGGATCCTGACAAAGTAAGATGACAGCAAACTACATACATTTTAAAAGATGCTTTATTTCACTACTCTAAAACAATATTAGAGGAAAATTAAAAATTCCATTGATCCATTTCATAAAATTTGATTTCCTCACAGCCCAGTTATTGTAATGATTGCAGCAGTAGGGTTCCGGAAGTTGCAGAGATTTTTTATTTTATTTATTTTTTTAAGAAATTAATACTTTTATTCATCAAGGACACATTAAATTGATTACTCATCATAGATGGCAGTAAAATGACACATTTATAATGTTACAAAAGTGTTTTTTCAGCTAAAGAATCGGTCTGATCCCATATATTTCCAACTTTTTCTTTTGTAGCCGACCAACTTCACGAATCCTGTGTATGCTACTCTGTACATGGGCGCTCACAACAGCCGCAATTCCCTGGCCAGTACAGATGAGAAGAAGGAGCTGCTATCACGGGGCGACGAGGAGCCCCTGGTGGACCCCCTGGCTTAGACTGTCCATCAGTTTGGTCCATACATGGAAAATACCATTTGCCTTTTTGAGGAAAAGAAGAAGAAAACAAACAGAAAGAAAATCAATGATTAAGTGTTAACACTGTATAAAATGTACAAAATGAAGGACTACTTTTGTATGTGATTGCAGTATTATATTTTGTTCTTTTACAATTCCTCTGGTCACAACAAAACATCACAACAACAAAAGATAAAATTTTTTTTTTTACAAAAAGATGGAGTTTTTTGTTTAAATTTTTAGGTCACCTCCCCTTTACCTTGATAGCCACTACCTCTGTGCAATATGGAGTCAAAAAAGAGATTGGAACAATGAAATTTTTTTATTTTTGTATGAAATGTATAGAGAAAAAATGTTGTTCCATCAGTAATGCCAACTGTTTGTTGTATGTTTGACTGTGTGGAGAAGGAAACTTTGACACGGAACCAGTGCTGTTTGCTTCAAACTTACTACAATATCAAGCAGATGTTATCAATTGTACGTATGTGCCAGTTTTTACTACTCCCATTGTAAGTTCATTATTATTTACAGTATAAAGGATAATCGATTTCTTGTGCACAGATACAAACCATTGCAATATTGCATATGCTTATTACAGAACAGCTTTTACATAACAGGTTTTTTTAAGTGAGAATGTCAGTGTTGTAGATTTGGACACACTTGACAGAAATGTTTCTCATGATCTTAAAAACCTTTTGATCTAAAGGCTTCTGCTTAACTGCTTGAAATTAGTTTTATAGACAACAATAAATTGTGCCTATGTATGAATCTTTTTACAAAACTAAACATTTTTGTTCAAATGTAAATCAAGTAAAATGAATTGTTGCGTTAGAAAGGATAGTAGAAGAAAAGCAACCATCGGGAGTCCAGCACATTTGAGAACTAATTCAGTATTGTTTGAATAAGAGTGAAGAACAAAAAATGAACATAAAAGAGATCAGATTTAACATTTTTTGGTCACTACATAATTCCCATACTTCAGTTTGAGTTTAGATTAATTGTAAAGAATGAGTGGGCGTGTCCCAGCTTTTGATTGGTACTGTATTTATTTTCAGATGAATAAAGTAAAGCAATGATAATTGAAATTGAACATTCCTGTAGAAAATAAAAAGCAGTTTACAAGAAAATCCCAAAACAATCAAATGCACATTTGTGCATTGGTTGTCGTGACATGTTTTGAGCACCTTTAAAGCTGCACATACTCCTGAAGAGGGTTTTTGACAGAAGAAAGTGCATTTTTACACTTGTGTATGATTGTTTTTAAAATGTCACAGTTAAAGATGAAAAACCGATGTGTTCTAATATTGACACACTTTTTTGTCTTTTGTAATCTGCCTCTGAAATATACCATCCATGTTGCTTTTACTATTAAAATGTACACTTTGTTTCCTCAGTAAATCCATATTGTCCTACTCGGCTGATTGCTGGCATGCTGCTTTTGTCAGAATCATTAGCTGTAATGTAAAACATAAAACAAAAAAAACTACCACAATCAAAAGTGCAATCATCATCTCACATGAATTACTAATGCCAAGATCTTTTGTTGAGAGATGACAACTTTTGTAGTACAAAATGCATGGGAAGTTTTATTTTTAACATTAAATTTCATTATAGTAAAATCACTTGTGAGAGGCTTGGACTGTGAATGTTTCTGTGGTACCATCAGTGTTGTTGTTTCCTGACTTATCATCATTGTCATTCAGAGTAAATAATCACATGCCATTTACAAGAAGGGTTATTATATCCAGAACTCTGTGTCCTTGAGCAAGCATGGCAGATGGCACATTTTGAGATGAGATGAATGAGGAAGTTAAATGAGATTTATTTGGTAGATAGGAGCTATATGACTAGAAATGGCCACCTGAGGATATTGTTAGTATGGTCACTGTGAAATTACTTACCTTAAGACTTAGACCTATTTATTCACATTAATTTATACTTAATTGACACTCACTAGTAAACTAGCATCAGTTGATGATGAAGAAGGTAATGTTTCCCAAATAAAATGTAATAATATCAGCTGGCAAATCCAAACATAAGCGGACAAGTAACACAACCATAACACAAACGACACCACAGCCATATCACCCTGTAGCCCACTGGTTGCCCACTGAAGCTAAGCATGGTTGAGCCTGGTCAGTACCTGGATGAGAGACCTCCTGGGGAAAACTAGGTTGCTGCTGGAAGAGGTGTTAGTGTGAGCAGCAGGGGGTGCTCACCCTGCAGTCTGTGTGGGTCCTGATGCCCCATTATAGTGATGGGGACAGTATACTGTAAAGAAAAAAAAGTGTCCTTCAGGTGAGACATTAAACCGAGGTCCTGACTCTCTTTGGTTATTAAAAATCCCATGGCACTTCTCATAAAGAGTTTGTAACCCTTGATGCCCTGGCCAAATTCCTCCACTGGCCCTTATCAACCATGGCCTCCTAATAAACCCCCTCCACTGAATTGGCTCTATCACTCTCTCTCCTCTCCAACTATAGCTGGTGTGTGGTGAGCGTACTGGCACTGATGTACTGTGGCTGCCGTCACCTCAAGCAAGTGGATGCTGCACACTGGTGGTGGGTGAAGAGAGACCCCTGATATGATTGTAAAGTGCTTTGGGTGTGCAGTAGTACATAATAAAACACTAAATAAACGCCTCATTCATTCATTTAGACCAGGGGTAGGCAAGTTCGGTCCTAGAGAGCCGCAGTCCTGCAGAGTTCAGCTCCAACCCTGAAAACAAAACTCACCTGCCTATAGCCTTAGTAATCCTGAAGACATTGATTAGCTTGTTCAGGTGTGTTTGATTAGGGTTGGAGCAGAACTCTGCAAGACTGCGGCTCTCTAGGACCGAACTTGCCTACCCCTGATTTAGACAAAGGAAATTAACTAAACAAGGAGTAAAAATAAGAAGGAACTAATGAGTTAATGAGGACACAGGTGATCATAATCAAACAGACTGACAAGGAAGGTAAGGCCAATGCATTATAAACTTGCTGAGGAGGGGGATCCGGAGGTGGACGAGGGGATGGTGAAGGACAGAAGACCAGAGAATCCAAGGAGGGGTAGACGGAGGAAGGACCAGGGCTACTTCACAAAGTGGGTGGAAGCTTATCCCCTGCCCAAAGACCAGGCTGTCACCCATACCTGTCAACCCTCCCGTTTTTTCCAGGATTCTCCCGTATTTTACCATTCTTTCCTGCTATCATCCCGTTTAAATATTATCCCGTATCTCTCCCGTAATTTTAATCTTTCTATAAAAAATCCCACTGGGCATATTTTGCTACATTCGCCTCCGGTAAAACTCCCGTAATTTGTATGGCCCAAACCTCATTATATGAATAATCACGTCAACAAATTCCAGAGTTGCCAGATCTTGTATGACACGCATCCTTCTCACACAAGACACATACAAATGTCAACCCATTTGTCCCCTCAACTTGGCAACCTACAACAGTGATGACTACCGTGGGAAGGAAAGGATCACTGGTAGGAATGGGACGGGAGGAGAAGACTCAGGTGGTGCTCCGGTGAAAAAAACAAATATACATGCAAATTGAGATATAGCTTACACTTCAAAAGGCTATGGTTTAATTGATTAAATATGCAAGTTGCAAAATCAGGTGCTGCGCTGCTTTGTTTACTGCGGTTACCAGGGAAATGGCTATATTCCTAGGGTAAAGCGAAAGAATGAAGAGAGAATGAATTAGAATTTTTCAATAAGTCCTTCTGCTTTTTGTTTTAGTCCAAAGCCCCCTCTCCCGTATTTTGGGACCCAAATGTTGACAGGTATGCTGTCACCATAGCAGAAACCATAGTTGCTGAATGGCTGTCGCTATGGAGCACCACTGGCATTACTCTGTGATCAAGGCTCCAATTTTGAATCCCAAACCTCATTATATGAATAATCACGTCAACAAATTCCAGAGTTGCCAGATCTTGTATGACACGCATCCTTCTCACACAAGACACATACAAATGTCAACCCATTTGTCCCCTCAACTTGGCAACCTACAACAGTGATGACTACCGTGGGAAGGAAAGGATCACTGGTAGGAATGGGACGGGAGGAGAAGACTCAGGTGGTGCTCCGGTGAAAAAAACAAATATACATGCAAATTGAGATATAGCTTACACTTCAAAAGGCTATGGTTTAATTGATTAAATATGCAAGTTGCAAAATCAGGTGCTGCGCTGCTTTGTTTACTGCGGTTACCAGGGAAATGGCTATATTCCTAGGGTAAAGCGAAAGAATGAAGAGAGAATGAATTAGAATTTTTCAATAAGTCCTTCTGCTTTTTGTTTTAGTCCAAAGCCCCCTCTCCCGTATTTTGGGACCCAAATGTTGACAGGTATGCTGTCACCATAGCAGAAACCATAGTTGCTGAATGGCTGTCGCTATGGAGCACCACTGGCATTACTCTGTGATCAAGGCTCCAATTTTGAATCTGAGGTTCCAAACCATGTGTGATCTGCTGGGAACTGAAAAGACCTGAACAACACCCTCCCTACCCCAGTCTGAGCGGTTTAATGTTGCTTTCCAGAAAATCCTAGCTACCACTTTGGAATGTTGACACTGAAAATGGAATCTCATGGTTGGCTTCGCTATGATGGCTTGCACGAGTTCCACTTGGTTCATGTGAAAAATTATGCTCTTTTGTTGGGAACTAACTGAAGACTCAAGTTCATTGCAATAAACCAACTTTCGTAGAGAGGACTTGTCTTGTGCTTCATACAGGGGGTGGACACATGAATAAGCTCGCTGATATAATTGGCAACATGAACAAGTTGCATTAGAACACCATGATGCACAGTGTAATAAGATGGCATGCGGTCGTGACAGCGACATTGCGTACCTTGTGTATAAAAGACGTGCAATGCAAGTGAGGATACATCTAGATTATATAATCTAGACATGAACAACTATTCAGTCAAAACATGTAAATGAATTTTACTATTTACTATTGTGTATGCATGTTATATTTAAGCTTTATGAGCTAGATTTCTGTACGGTTAAGGTTCTGTTACGGTTTCTGTAAAAAGTTGATGAATACTTCACTTTCTTTATTTTCATATCTGACGTTTACACATCAGTGCCAGTATCGGGTGCTTTTGCAAAACGTAAATGTAAGAAACTTATCCAAGATGATGATGACGATGGTTACTACTATTTATC